TGTAAAGCTTTACTGCCCCCCAATGCTAGTGTGAATGAGCCCTAATAACATATAGCCAGCCTAATGCATGTACTCTTCATTGCCAGCAAAGCGCTGTCAGTGGGCGGAGGTTGGCGTCAGGTAGTTTATAGCCACGTACAGCAGGTTGAAACATTAGAGATCCCATTTACAAGAAGGCTGACATTTCCTTGTTATCAGCACTCTTTAAATAGCCAACTATTGTTTATTTGGTTTAAAATGTATTATCTTTGATGATCTGTTTGGCTCTTACATTATGGCTTCATTTCCTAAGTGCCTTTTACATGGCAGTCCAACACTAGAACTACTCAATGTATGTATACAGCTGTATGAGAGCACAGGCGAGCAAAATAGACTTTCCCCTGCACAAAGAAATAGAGCCCAAATATTCAAATTGCTTGTCTTGGCATCAGCTGCACTTCTCCGAGCCATATACGCTCACCCTTACTTTCCTTTGTGGTTGGGCTAATTGATATGGGTGGGAGTACCATGAACTTAATGGCAGCCTTAACAAATGGAGGCGAAGAGACAACCCTGCTATTTACATTTCAAAGTAAAAACCTGTTTAATCTCCCTTGTCTGCCAGATCATTAAGGAAATGTTATGGTTCTATCTAGTGGAATATTCACCTTGTTTAATACGTATCTTAATACAAATAGAAAGACCTAATTAGATTAAACTTTAAAATATACCCATAATAATCGCACACTATTATTTTATAATACTGAGTCTGATTTATTAGAAGTGGAAGAAATGGGAACTAACAGTGATACCCAGGGCCACCCTTCAGATTTCAGCTGTTGTTCCAGATGGGAAAATGCAAAACACTCATACGGACAATACAGATTTCATAAACAAGACCCAGTGTTTTATTTAAACAGGAAAAATAGACTATCATTAATAATCATCTTAATGACAAGCCTTTTTTACAGCTGAACCACAGGTAACTTAAAAAATTAAATTGATACAGTTATATATTCATCATTAAATCATTCATAATAGAAATCATTAATCATTTTTTATTGTAACTAGTGTAAGTACCTGAATTTTGCTTCTTTCATGCTTCTTGTAATGCCCTATACAGCAGTAGGGAGGGGCAGTAATAGTTGCAGATTATATGTATTGCATACACATAGTTACATAGTTAGTCTGGCTGAAAAAAGACGAAAGTCCATCCAGTTCAACCATAGAAAAAAAAAGTTATAATCCTATAACCACAATTAATCCACAGGAAGGCAAAAAGACCCAGCAAAGCATGATCCAATTTGCTCCTGCAGGGACAAAAATCCTTGCTGATCCCCAGAGAGGCAATTGGATATTCCCTGGATCAACTTTACCTATAAATGTTAGTATCCAGTTATATTCTGTGTATCCAAGAAAGAATCCAGAACTTTTTTAAAGCAATCCACTGAGCTGACCAGAACCAACTCTTGAGGGAATCTATTCCACATTTTCACAGCTCTTACTGTGAAGAAACCTTTCGTATTTGGAGATTAAATTTCTTTTCCTCCAGACGTAAAGAGTGCCCCCTTGTCCTCTGTGATGACCTCATGGTGAATAGCTCTACACCGAGTTCACTATATGAACCACTGATGTATTTATACATGTTGATCATATCCCCCCTTAATCTCCTCTTCTCAAGAGAGAATAAATTCAGTTCCTCTAATCTTTCCTCATAGCTGAGCTCCTCCATGCCTCTTATCAGTTTAGTTGGCCTTCTCTGTACTTTCTCCAGTTCCCCAATGTTCTTTTTGTGATTTGGTGGCAAAAATTGAACTGCATATTCCAGATGAGGTGATACTAATGATTTGTACAGGGGTAATATGATATCTCTCTCTCTGGAGTCTATACCTCTTTTAATACAAGAGAGGATTTTGCACGCTTTAGAAACTGCAGCTTGGCTGCATGCCATTATTAAGCTTGTGATCTACCAGAACTCCCAGATCCTTCTCCTCCATTGATTCCCCTAGTTGTACCCCCTCCCCCCACATACACATGAACTGACAAGGAACATTCTGAGAAGAGCAGAGAGAAGAAAGATTGCCTTTCCATCTGTTGTTCCTTTGTTGTCCAATCACAGGTTGGGTGTAAGGAGGTAACCAAGCTGTATTTCTTATAGTGGTTGTAAACTGTTACATACTGTAAATTCAGTGAAGTGACTGGCCTCAAGGGATACACAGAGATTAAACAAAACTCCCTACATAAGTTGTGCCTGTTTATCTGCAGTCTTCTTTTCTCTACAGCCCCTCAAAGTGCATAATTCATACAGCTCGTCTGAGCTGTCAGAAAACGGGACTGGGAGCTGAAGTTGCACTGTGCAGGTCTCATTGAGAGCTAATTGGAGGGAAAGAACACACCCCTTCACACAGGAACAGAGCTGAGGCTGTCAATGACAGGCTGTATGCTGGAGTTCCCTCCCCTGTCACCTTTTTATCTATGGTGTCAGGAAAACTTGTCAAAAGTTATTTATGCTGATAGCAGAGGAACATGGCAGCAGACAGAAATGACACTTAGTGCTCTGGACTCAGACATGTATACACAAGTACATATTTCACTTCAGAGGTGTACAACTACTTGAGCTCTCAAAGGTTTTACCTTCTTCATGACCAGGCCATTTTTTGCTATTCAGTACTGCACTACTTTAACTGGCAATTGCTTGGTCATGCAACACTGCACATCAATGAAATTTTTTTACACAAATAGATCTTTGTTTTGGTGGTATTTGATCACCGTTGTGGGTTTTTTTTATCTAAATGGAAAAAGTCTGACTTTTTTTGTAAAAAAAACATTTTCTACTTTCTGTTATAAAACATATCCAATAAAAATTTAAAAAAAATCAAATTTCTTCAGAAATTAGGCCAAAATGTATTCTGCTACAGGTCTTTGGTAAAAAAAAAATTCCAATAAGTGCATATTAATTGGTTTGTATGAAATTTATAGCATCTACAAACTATAGTATATATGTTAGAAAATTGATCAGTCCTGATGTACTGACAGCCTATCTTATTTCTTGAGGCCCTAAAATGTCAGGACAGTACAAATGCCCCCCATATGACCCCTTTTAAGAAAGAAGACAGTCCAGAGTATTTAGTAAGAGGAATGGCGAGTTATTTTTAGTTAATGTTTCTCACAATTTGTTTGAAAATAAAGAAATTAAATAAAATGTTTCCACAATATTTTTTACATACAGTCAACAGTGCAGTACAGCATCATCATCATAAGACTGGTGTCGTGGTGATCAAGGATATTGGCTAGTGATCATATGTAAAGAAAAAAAAAAGTTAATTTTTTTACATTTTTTTCATACTGTGACCAGAGCAGTACAGTGTGATCATAGTACACTGTACTACCTTGGGAAGTGATCAGAATTCTTTTTAAACTATGATTTCTTGTTACAGTGATAATTACTTTAACAGCATTCAGTTGAACTGTCATGAATGGCTTTCATTCATGACTCAGTGTTTACTATTGTGATTCTGTGATTGGCCACAGTTATCACATGGTACAGGTTGCTGTGATTGACCCAGGTACCATGTGATCACTGTGACCAATCACCGATCCTACACAGTATTAAACAATGATGTCATGAATGGATTCTATTCATGCCTGTTGTTTACTAGGTGACATGTGATTGCTGTAATTGGTCAAGTGATCACAGCAGCCTGATACCAAACACTACGATCTGCTGTGACCCTAAGAGGTGTGCATGATGCATGTGAGCAGGATGACGGACCAGCATGTTGTCCGGGAAAACCAGAGCTGCAATATTACTACTGCTGGTCAGCAAGTAGTTAAACAAACAAACAATCATGCTCGCCTCTGTGGCCTCAGCATCAGTCCTATGCTGCACCTGTCTTCTGCCAGCTCTAAGACAGAGAACTGAGCGATTACATGACCACTGATCGCTCAGTTCTGGGTCTTCACTGACAAAGATCTGGCTCTATGTTATCAGCCGACTTGATTCTGTGTCACAGCACTGCAGAACTTAGGTCACTCTTGTCACTTCTGTGACCAATGAGAGAAGTATGACCAAAAGAGCTTTGGCCATACTTCTCCTTCAATGATAAAAAATAGAAATAATAGCTAAGAGGAAGAAGTCAATTCTTGACTATCTGCAGATGTCATCTTACCCAGGAATGGCTGCATTGTGAAAGCCTCTCCTGCTATGTAATACATTTGGGAATTAGTATTTGTCAATAATAGTGACAGAGGGAGCAGTGGCACAGAGGAGCTGAATGTAGGACATCTTAGAAACTTTGTTGGAGTTTTTTATACTTGCAAGGTCTTTAAAGGGATAAAACATGAAAAAATGTATTGCAGAGATGTTCTGCATATATCTTTTTTGCCTTGACAAAATGTATGGAGTGATTTTTTTTTATTGCATTATTTAAAAAGCATACTAGCTGCTCAGTCAAGAAAAAAACAGACACTACAGGGCCAATCTAAACAGTTGTGCACCATATGTTTTGCACAGTAACCGTATACCTATCTGACAATCATTTAAAAAATGACTTTCAGGCAGATTCCACATTAAGGACTCATTTTCACTTGTGTCGATCTGTGGAGGATCGCTATTCATAGGCTGTTTGATTGTTTTAACATCTAAAAGCTTGCACCATTTCATCATGTCCCCGTTCAGTTAAATGGGTCGCATTGAGTGGAAGATGGTGCCTGCCGAGCATGACAGTGGGATAAATTTTGCTGCGCCACAGCAAATGTACACCCCTGTCTGCTGCCTTCGCAGCCTAAGGGGGAGTGATTGGGGGCTGCTAAAAATGGGGCATGTAAACAAGGCCTAAGGGCAATTTTTTTTTTTTTTGTAAATGTCCAGTGGGACATTTAAATAAAAAAATTAGCCCGAAGTTAGACTTCAAAGAATTCTGCTTCTCATGTTTTTTTCTGTTATAATTAACCATACTAATTATTATCAGTTATGGCAACATGCATAAGTAATTTTTGATTTGTTAAATTTTCTTTTACAGTCCTCGAAACCTAAAGTAAGCATTCCACTCTCTGCAATTATCGAGGTCGCACTACAATGCCGCTGGAAATGCCTGACAAGGACAACACATTTGTTCTAAAGGTATATTTATTGATTTCAGGTACTTATATAGTGCCGTCAATTTATGCATTGCATATATTGTTCATTCACATCAGTCCCTAACCCTCAAGGAGTGTACAATCTAAGGTCCCTAATTCACATTCATACATACTAGGGTCAATTTAGACAGGAGCCAGTTGACCTACCAGCATGTCTTTAGAGTGGGGGAGCAGGCCTATACGGGCACAGGGAGAACATGCAAACTCCAGGCAGGTGGTGCCGTGGGTGGGATTCGAGCAGGCGACCCTGGTGCTGCCAGGCGGAAGTGCTAACCATTTAGCCACTGTACTGCCCCCATATGCTATTTCAAACTACATTGTTACATGCACATTCCAATAAAATTTGTATCTGTTGCTGAATAACCAAAAAAAATGCATTTCCTCAGTCCATGCAAAATTTTTGGGTTCTAGCACTTCCAGGGCATCCAAATATCAACCAAAACCAATGCACACAATTGTTCCACCCATTGTACTGAATGAACAGGATGCTCATCCCTAGAAGAGCTGGGTGGGAGTGACCCCCTTCATTCAACACATGGAAACATGGGGTTTATTTACTAAAGCGGAAGAACGCAAAATCTGACTCACTGCTGCATAGAAACCAATCAGCTTCCAGGTTTTATTGCCAAAGCTTAACTGAACAAGCTGATGTTAGAAGCTGATTGGTTTCCTTGCAGAAGTGAGCCTGATTTTGCACTCTCCAGCTTTAGTAAATAAACCCCACAGTGTCTTTGTTTGTGGATGTATACTGCTCTATGTTGCTATTTTTCACAAATTGATAAAAAAAAATATAGCTGGAGGATCTTTCAGTAACTTTACATGTCATGAACGAAAGGCAGCAAGGGCACTGACTTTTGTAAATGCAGTAGATTTTAACAATGATAGTTTACAGACTTAAAGTGGTTGTAAAGGCTCAAGGTTTTTTACCTGCATGCATTTTATGCATGAAGGTAAAAAAACCTTCTCTGTGCAGCATTCCCCTCAGTCCCCCCCTAATGCTCACCTAAGCCTCCTCTCTGTACTGGAGTCTCGGCTATCCCAGGACTCATTGGCTGAGACAGAAGCGGGTGCTCTTGGCTCCCACTGCTGTCAATCACAGCCAGAGAGCCAAAGAGAAGAGAGGGGGGATGGGGCCAAGATGCAATTCCGTGTGTGAATGGATGGAGCAGTGGGTGCCCCCATAGCAAGCTTTTTGCTGTGGGGGCACCCGACAAGAAGGAGGGGCTAGGAGCGCCGGCAGGGGACCCAATAAGAGGAGGATCCAGGCTGCTCTGTGCAAAACCACTGCACACAGCAGGTATGTATAGACATGTTTTTTATTGAAAAAAAAAAGCCTTTTAGAATCACTTTACTGTTTACAGACAAGTTACAATTACAAATTTACTGAAGGAAAATACACTGTGCACTTTGCAAAGTGCAGCTGCAAAGAGCACAGTTCATTGCCCTTAGTAAATCAACCCCTGAAGGTTTTACTTTAAATAACAATCATGTTATACTTACCTGCTCTGGGCAGTGGTCTTGGGTCCCCCACTGGCACTCCTGGCTCCTCAGCTTGCTCTGGGGGTCTCGTGCATGCCTGCTTCCAAGCCGCATCTGAGTGTGTCTATAAGACTCAGAGTCTGGCTCGCCCACCATCCTCACTGGCTGTGATGGACTGCTTTTTGTAAGCCAATGAGGAGGGAGAGACCCAGGAGAGCCTGGGTCAAGATCAGGCTCGGGTAAGTATTGGGGGGGGGGGGGATGATTTTCATTTTCGTGTATAGAATGCGAGAAGGTAAAAAACCTTCAGCTTTTAGAGACACATTAAGGGTGACAGCAAGGGCTAGGCTGTGTCATACAGCCAGCAACAGAAACACTACTGTGCAGCTACAAGTATTTAAACAATTGTGTTGTCAATGAGCCAGAACATGTACTGTATGTCTGATCAAGGATGATTTAGGTGTCTTAAGCAAGCCATAGACGCTGCAATTTTCTTTCCTGCAACCATGGGTTGCACAAAAAAATTTGCTCATCAACACAGTCCCTCCCACAAAGCTATTGTGTTCTGGCAGCATGGAGCCTTCCCTGCTGGCAGAACACAATGATTACTGCTGGTTGCTACAGCTGCTGGCAGTAATCGCATGCAAAAGAATTCTACATGCTAGTTGTACTGAAGTCAACTGATGGATCGACTTCAGTTCAACCAGCCTGCCCATAGATGGATCGAATCTTGTCCGGTGCTTGCTAAACCGGCCAAGATTCAATCCATCTATGGATGGCTTTAAGTTGGTCATACATTGATTTTTTTTTTTTTTTATCATCCTCCCATCCACACAAACGAGGTGGATGAAAGAATCCTCCCTGCTGAGCTGTTGTCTTCTGACAGCAGTGACTTCTCTGCTGCCAGTATATAATGATCAACACTGCAGCAGACCAACTGAAAAGTTTCCAACAGTTTCGTTCGAGAGAAGTCAATCATTAGATTGAAACAGCTTTTGTTTCCTTTTTTTTTTTTACATCCCCTCCTTTATTTTCACCTAACGATTCTGCCAGTAGCACCATTCCTTCCCTAAAGTAACAAGACTCACTCACTGCCCTCTATCTGTGCAGTATCAGCGTGGTCACTTTAGGCCAGGGGTGGGCAAACTTTTTGACTTGAGGGCCGCAATGGGTTCATATATTGGACCCGGGGGCCGGACCAAGAGTAGATGAATGATGTGTATGTGTCATCCATAGTAAGTATAGTAATATTCCCCCATAGTAAGCATAGTAATTAATCCCCCATATAGTAATTCATCCCCCATAATAATTCATCCCCCATATAGTAATTCATCCCCCATATAGTAATTCATCCCCCATATAGTAATTCTGTCCCCCTCGACGTATCTGCGCATGTGCCAGTTTCAGGCATTAGCAGCCGATCGGCGATCTCCGGCACATGCGCAGATACGTCGAGGGGGACAGATCCTCATAGGAGACAGATTTTCATGCTACACCGGTCTTCAGGGCGGACTGTGAGAGGAGCCTAGCGGGAGCCTAGCTCCGCGGGCCGGATTAAAAGGTCCGCCGGGCCGTAGTTTGCCCATTGCTGCTTTAGGCTGTCTGAATTACATTGACACTGGAGTTCTGACAAGATCAATAGGTTTTTTTGTAATAGAAGAAAATGTTCTTAGCCTGACAAAAAGAAAATAAATGCAGCCTCACCTAAGGGATAGTAATTTTTTTCTTGGGTTTAGATGTTTTGTTTTCATCAAGCTGTTTATGGACAATATGCCATACTGTCTGTACAATATCCTGACTGTTATCAATTAGACATCAGAGCACGCTGGTGAAAAACAAGATAATCTGTTTATTATTCCCTCTCTGCCTGTACTGTCTGTACATCATGTATATGTGCAATAAGTGATAATATGGGTATACCACGTAGTGTTCACAGTCTAGGTCATTAACGTAACAGCAAGCACTTGTTTTGTTTCTACCATTAGACGTTCTATAAATCATGACCTACGTTATCAGGATAAATAAAATGTGTGAACCTCTGACAGCCAGCGATTCAGGAGAGAGATGTGGACCTTGCATACTGGACCGGGATAAAGTTTCTGATGTTGATGAAGCAGAGACTTGGCAGCGTCTATCGGTGCTTAGCACCTAGGGACTTAGGGCCAGACATGCCAGCCGCACTATAGTTCACCAGCCAGGTCTTTGGTGAGCAGAGGAATGGTCACATACTGGCATTTCCTGATGTGTGAAAGAGCCTCAACAAATCTTCAGGGTGAAATAAGGATAAGCCAGACCACAAAAACCTTCATCAGAAAATTAACATGCATAAGATATCCAACATGTAAACACACAGACTGAAATATATCTGCTGGCTGCATAGTATGTTATGTGATGATATTATGAATATTAATACAGCAGCTACTACTTACTACTACTATTACTACAAATAGAAAAAAAGAAAAACTTGTCTGAATGCAGACAGAGGTCGTCAGTGTTGGGACCCTGTAAATCTGAGGCCTAATCTGAATGTGGAATGTTGGACCTAAATGTGGAGTTTATTGACTATATATTGCTGTCCTCCTATGTCAATAAAATCACAGCACAGGAAGCCATGTGTCAGGCCCATCTGCGTCGTCCCAGTGAGGCTAGATTGAATCTGATCTCTAAAAATAGGTTTTTTTTTTTATACATTTGGCAAATCAATAGTATGATCTGCCCAGTCCCTGATTGCAGGATCTGGTATAAAAACTCTTGATGGTCACTAAATAAATGTATATTCCTCCTGCGCTTTATGGAGTACCTATAATCACAAGCTGCTAGCACTCAAAACTGATACCTTATACAGTGAACAGAACTAAATAAATCGTATAGTGCAGCGCTACAGAAATACAATACCAATAACTCATATAACATTCAAATATACAGAGACATAGATGAATGATCAAAACAGATGCCACACGTGCTCTTGTAATATACGTACAAGTAGGTGGGTGATTTATAGTCCTGTTCCTACTTCAGAACTGGTAATTTAGTAGTCACTACACATGTGCGATAACATATACTGGTCCCCTTATGTCACACTCCACAGGCATGATTGGTGAATATACAGTGGTGACCAAACAAATAAAGTAATATTTCTCTTAATGCAACAATTCGTAAATAAATATTCATACTCCACTTGGGATCAATTCATGCAAGCAGTGATAACACAGATGTTGTCCAGTGATTGTGTCAGCACACTCCGCCTGTGACTAGATTGCCCCCTCACCTTAACTCTGCGACCCAATGGGCCAAGATCACTGAAGGATCTTGCTCCAATAATGGTAGGTATCCTCAGCAGACCTTCCATGGACCCCTCAACAGGTGGGTAAGTATTCAGGACTCTCTGGGTACTGACATCAGCTAATTATACCACTCATAAACCATGATGAGTGAAGAAAAAATCCTTCATTGTGTAGTAATGAAGTATGAGGATACCTACTATTATTGGAGCAAGATCCTTCAGTGATCTTAAAGGCGTGATGGCCCATTGGGTCGCAGATTTAAGGTGAGGGGTCAATCTAGCCACAGGAGGAGTGTGTTGACACCATCACTGGAGTACGAATATTTATTTATGAACTGTTGCATTAAGAGAAATATTACTTTGTTTGGTCACCACTGTATATTCACCAATCACGCCTGTGGAGTGTGACATAAGGGGACCAGTTTATGTTATCACACATGTGTAGTGACTACTAAATTACCAGTTCTGAAGTAGGAACAGGACTATAGATCACCCACCTACTTGCACGTATATTACAAGAGCATGTGTGGCATCTGTTTTGATCATTCATCTATGTCTCTGTATATTTGAATGTTAGGAGTTATTGGTATTGTATTTCTGTAGCGCTGCACTATAAGATTTATTTAGTTCTTGATGCTTTTTGAGTGGTAGAGGACTTTAAAATTAGCATTAGAAAAAGTTTTAGTTAGAGCAGTTTTGCTCTCCAAACTGTGCCCCGGGGACCAGATGTAGCCCTTTCCTTGCCTTTATCTGGTCCTTGGGGCACAATTCCTGTCACTGATACCCACAATTGTGCACTATTGCTATCACTGACCCTATCAATGGTGCACTATTCATTCCTCTGACACCAATGATGGGGCACTATTCCTACCATCGACACCAACGGCAGGGCATTATTCTTCCCACTGACACCAGTGATGGGACACTATTGCTTCCTCTAATACCAACAATGGGGCACTTTCCTCCCAATGACACCAATGATGGGGCACTAATTCTTCCCCTGATACCAATAATGGGGCAATATTTGTCCCACTAATACCAATGATGGGGCTTTTTTTTTTTTTACTCCCAGTGACACCAGGGCATTTTCTACCCACAATGGCCACAGTCTGGCCTCCATAAAGTCTGAAGGACAGTAAACTGGCCCTTTGTTTAGAAAGTTTGGAGACCCCTGTACTATTAAATGTAAATGTAGAGGTAAATGTAAAATGCCAAGCTCTCGCACTTGAAAATATGTTCCATTATCTGATACCAGCCATTCTCAACTAGGGTTCTTCCAGAGTTTTCCAGGGCTTCTTTGAGCTGCGACTAATTAACCTTCATATCTGATGGTGCTTGCATAGTCCTGGGGGCCAATGCTGCTTGGCAAAGCCACAAATTATCTTTTTAGCTGTCTGTAAGGATGGATTCTGACCACCACTGTAAGCATTGCCGCCGGTGCCCTTTGTCGGTCAGCAGTGGCTCCAGGGGAGAAGAGAAAACGCTCAACAGCAGCTGAGAAATCCAGGAATAGTCACATCTCCCATAGGCTCCCATGTCCCAGCCGTTGTCGGTGCGCCCTCCTCTCCCCTGCAGCCACTTTTGACTGACACAGGAGAGCCCGATCATGTAACCAGACCAGAGCAGGCTGAAAATAGGTAAGTAGATAGATTTTGTTTTTTACACAGGTTAGACAGCATAGGTAGCAGGAAGGGGAAGGTATCTTAAATACTACTTATTGCAGCTTAATGAATCCCATCCTTCTTATAATAGGCAGCTGAGATCTGATGGTAATTTTAATGTCACAACAGGATTTAACATGTTGACTGCACTGGTTTTTAATTGTACATGAAAAGTTATAATCATTATTATTAATGTAATTTATATATGTAAACGTTTTGTTTTGTAGGTAGAAAATAGTGCAGAATATATCTTAGAAACTATTGACTCTCTCCAGAAACATTCTTGGGTTGCTGACATACAGGATTGCATTGATCCTGGGTAAGTAGTTTTTAACGTGCATATGAAAGTCTGATTAGCTCAAGTCAGATCATTTCACTAACTCCTCTGCGGTGCAAGTGAAAGGAATTTAAAGGATAGATTCACCTTTTGAACACGTTACATCTGTGTTTAGGGTGTGACAGCAGGCAGGGATTTTTCTCTCCCGCAGCCACTGTCACATTTAAAACTGACATGGCTATGATCTGTGAATGAATAAACTACAAGTCTTGTCTGCCACCATGGTAGACAGACTTGAAGTTTCAACGGACGGCGAACATGCTGATCAGCACTTCAGTCGCACTTCCTACTGCTCTCAAGCTTATATCCTGCACAGAGATGTAGGCAGTGTCTGCAGGAGCCTGACAATGCACCAGGGATCCACTGGTCACAGGTACAATGCTCTGCAGGCTCCAGTGAAAAAATGAATCATTAAGCATTTTCATACCTGCAAAAGTAAGTGCATTTAATTTTTTGTTTTCATAAAAGTGAACCTATCCTTTTATTTGTCTTCAATATTTTTATATGGGTGGAACTGTTTTGACTGCAAAGAGCCCTGTGTTTGTTATTAAAAAATGGAAAAGTCTTGAAATTGTACTCTAATTTGGGGGGATTTGTAAACTTGATCAAATATGCCTTAGGACATAAGCATTTTTATTTTGATACAGATGAACCCCTTTTACACAATACATAACCCTGTATGTGAGTTTCCAAAGTTTCAGCTGCATTCAGTCTGCATTTTGGGTATTCTTCCCTGGACACATACTAAGTGTTAGTGCCACTCAGTACACCATCCAGCCACAGCAGCTTCCATTCTCTCATAGAGTTTTACAGGCTTCTGACAGCAGGGCTGGATGGTGTAAATGTGCCTTCCGCCCACACAAAAAAGCCAGGATCTCATGCCCAGGGGCTAAACTTCTAGTGTACTGTACATGAGGCCTAAGGCTTGGTGCTCTCTGCAGTTGGCACTCAGCAACAGGCTGGTATGTGTTTTCTCTTCAGTCCACATGGGGACACATAAATAGGGGTGTGTCTGTTTCTCTGCTATGCCAGCACAGACTACTGCAGTGTGAGGGAGGAAGCAGCATGTTCACTGAGGGAAAAATATATTTTAAGTCATTTACAAGAAAGTCAGTAACAAATTGTAATATGTGGGGACACAGGATTATAAAGAGATAAAAATTTGCAAGACTTCAGTTGGGCAAACTGCAGTAAAACTAGCACAAGTCAGAGTGGGATCCATTTTTTCCTGGATGTAAGCTGGTGTTCATCAGTATAGTCAGGGTCTTCTGCTTGGTTATGAAGTCAGAGGTGAAAACACAAATACACAGGATACAAGGTAATGAAGTCTATATTGTGGGTCCCTATCCCTTTATTTTCATTTAGCTGGTACATTAGCATGCTTAGTTAGACAAAGTTATCTGTTAAAAAAACTCTTAAAATATAACATGGCTAACACTAACTGTCTTCTTGCAGGGATAGTGGGGATGACATAGAACTTTCTTCTTGTGAGCAGGGAGCATGTCTACCTGGCCGAGCTTCATCATGTAGCTGTGAGTTTCTTGCTGAAGGTAAGCAGTACACACTACCCAGCAGGGTGAACAAAAAAAAACATGACAGCTCAGGAGGAGCCGCTGTACTAACTATCCGATGTTAGTACAGCGATCTCCCTTGCTGTGCTATTGTGTTCTGTCAGAACACTCGCTGAGAGTGGTGATCGGGAGCCAATCAGCTTACCTTTTTTGGTCTGTCAGAACACTCGCTGAGAATGCTGATCAGGAGCCAATCAGCAGACCTTTTTTGGTCTTGTTGGACCGGCTGCCGTACACACGGCCTGAACGTTGGCCGTTTTCTATTGAACCACCAGCCAATGCCACCTGACATTCGGCCCATGTGTACTAGGCTTAAAGGTGAAACCATCCTTCATCCAAACTCTATAAAATGTTATATACTTTCATTTATGCTTTTTTTTCAGTTCAGCCAATCTACTTGTTTCAGTATTTACTTGATCCCCCACAGGATCTTACCGTCCCCTGGATATGTGTGGTCAGGATGCAATATCTGCCACTCTTCCTGCTGCTGTAGCATCTCAGACAAGAGGTCGAGAACATGCCGCATCAGAGCATCTCATGCACATCCCCCTGGAGAACTTTCTCCAGACCTTGGAGAATGCAGCTCCCAACCATGGACCAGGTAAACTCTGTAATACAGAACTCTGAACATAACTGCGTTCTTTTATTATTATACCATGTTCCCCTGGAAAACGTTCTCCAGAACTTGGAGGCTGCATCACCTAGTTGTGGGCCAGGTAAACTATGCAGCACAGAAGCTCTGAATTTCACTCTGTTCTTTAATTCTGGTTATACTATGTGGTTTAAAAAGTACCAACATGAGCAGTTTAGAATGTACATGATGACAAATTACCCATTGCCCATCAAAATAAATCCTTCTAGATCAATAAAGGTCTCTGAATAGAACAATCTGATATATGCTAGTGGGTGAGTTATTCCATGATCATTAATGAAGCATTTAGTGGTCTAAACCCTCAGAATGAAGCCAGAAAAGTAGCTAATCTGATTGTACTACTTGCCTGGATGGAAAAATATAATCATTGCAAATTAATTTAATAGCATAAAACTGTATTCTACAGAATGTGGTACATTTAGCCTTACAAAGCAACTTGGTCAGGAAGTATTAGAAATCCAAATAAAGAATCCCTGTAAGGTCCATGGTAACACTAGCGATTTTGTAGCAGCAATTTGAAACAGCTACAGAATCATACTCCTTAGACCCCATTGACATTTGAGAATGGAGCCAACACTGATTACATACAAGAACCCCGACGGGGGTTCCTGGTGATTAGCTGTGGGAGGCAGCCCCAATAAACGCATGCTAGTTGTGGCTGCTCTCATGTAATTATCCATGGAGTGATCATCGGCGAGTGATCGTGCCTGGATGTAGACAAGTGTGAAGGGGTCTTCAAGCTTTTGTTGGTAGAGAAAAAATAACCGCAGTTAATAAAATGTCTTTGTCAATTTCAAACAATCTGTAGCTAAATCGCTAAGCGATTTACTTTTTTCAGCATTTGGAGCTAGTGACAAAATCGCCAGCTTCAGCTCACCACCCCGGCGCCTCATCCTGGTGCCTCAGGGGTACTGTCTTCCCTCTTTTCTACTGCTGCAGCCTCAGTCTTTGTCTTCAACATTCAACACTTCCAGTAGTGCTGCATGCTTGTGTCCCTTGCTGGGCCGTGGTTTCTTCCTCCAACCCCTACATCAATACAGGACTCAGTAATGATGTAGGAGTTGGGAGAATGAGCCATGGCACACTGCTGGGAACACAGACTTTTGAACAAGAAGCAGACATGCCAACTGGAGAGGTGAGTATAAGTCTTCGGTCACTCCAGATCCGACTTTGAAATCGTTCGACTTCACTAAATCTACCTTGGTAATTTTCTGTTTTCATCCCTTGCCCAGCAGCACTAAAACTGACAGATGGTAGGGCAGAACTAAGAGCCAATCATGGGTCTTGCATGCCCATGGTATTGATTTTCGGTGTGCTGCTGCCCTTTCATTGTCCAATCAGAAGGCTGTGAGCTGAGGGAAGTGGCATCACAGTGTTTCCCAATTCAAACACAGAAAGTGCAAACCGTCAGGTTGTGCTGTTTGGCAGAGCTATATGAATCACAACACTGACTGGACAGCATTACAAATTCTTTAGCAGAGTGGACAGATTACACACAAATCACATTTTATTGCTTTGCAGCCTGAAATGAAGACAGATACAGTTTTGGTTTACCCAGCTGTATTTTCCTTTTTCCAACTCAATGATTCCGTTTTTGATCTTTTGATTTTTTTTGCTGATATGTTGATGTTATATCTTTCACTTGGATGTTATAAGTTGAGAAAATACAGCTGGATAAAACAAAAAATGTGTCTGTCTTCATTTCAGGCTGCAAAGCAACAAAATGTGATTGTTGTAAAGGGGGTGATTCTTTTTTTATACCCACTGTAAAGGGTGTCGTAGACACAGCACCAAAAGTGTTGCCTAATTCATCTCTCATAGGTTATTTAGTACACGCACAATCTGTAGATATTTATCTAGCTGGTTCATATTAAGGTTTTCTTTGTAACTTTCATCCTGTTAATGAGCATCATTCACATAGGTTTAAGGCAGCATGATCTCTCATGCAACCCTGACCAAGTAGAAACATGACTATCTGCTCTCATTATAATTTGGTCACCAACAGACACTCTCCTGTCACTGCTCATAATTGACGAAATACATAACAGGAAAATAATGCTGCAATCTAGGCAGATATAAAAGACACAAATAAATGCAGCTCTGTATTCATTATTAGATTTTTAAATGTATATTTAAATACAAACAGTGAACCTGAATTTGACCTGGTATCAGCATCTTGCTTTCCCTGTATAACAAAGAAAGAAGCAGCACAAGCAGCCAATCAGTTAATTAGCTGACAAGAAGCGAAAGCAGAGTGACATGGATAAGCTCATCACCGTGCAGCTTCTCCTTTCACTGACCAGTCACAGGCTGGGATGAGTCCAACACAGCCTGGGCTCACAGGAAAAGGATTTAGTAATGCTGATCCATCAAATTGAGGACATCTCGGGACAAAAAAAAGGTCTGCAGAGGAAATGTGTGGATTGAAGCTGGCATATTCCTGCTAAAGCTGATTTTAATATTCTGTCTTTTAATTGGGTGTTCATTTTATCTTGTTACTTTTGCCTGAAGTAGAAACCTTATAAGTACAGTAGGTATGCATTTTGTAAGCTGTGGCAGAAATCAGTGCTTTTAAACTTTTTCTTTTATTTTTTCATAGAAATGATAACAAGTAAGTAACAAAAATATGTTATTGTACTGTTACCTTCATTAGGTGATGATAGTGAGAAACCTGAAATTAATCTCTTTGATTACCCTTGGTTCCATGGGACATTGTCAAGAATTAAGGCTGCTCAGCTTGTGCTTGCTGGTGGAACCCGAAGCCATGGGCTCTTTGTCATCAGGCAAAGTGAAACCCGCCCAGGAGAATATGTGCTGACATTCAACTTTCAAGGCAAAGCAAAGGCAAGCACTCTGTTTATACTAATTTAAGGGCCCATTCAGACCCGCAATCAGCACTGGTTTCCCATTCCACATTCCAATCAGAATGCAACACCCCAAATGCAGTGTGTGGGATGTAATGTGCTTGCAGTGCGTTACAGTTCATTTCCTAAAGTAGTGCAATTGGGATTTCCTCCCATTCAAAATGAATGGGCTGAAATCACACTGTACAGAACTGCATATGAATCACACAGGAACCATACAGCATTCCTGTGCTATTCACATGTAGTTTCTAGTATGAATGGGCCCAAAGTGCTTCTACGTGATATAACTATAAATTAATGATTTGTATTTGTAAAATACTTCACAAGCAAAGGTATTTGGTCAACCCATTGGATGAATTTTCCTTTATTTTCACCTGGTTATGCTGCCAGTAACATACTTTCTGTACTATGATGACAACACAGGTAGTATTTTAGGACTGCAGAACACCTGGCTCTTTTTTATTTTTTACTTATTGAGAGATATAACAATATAACAAGACACCAAAAAAAAATGAGCAAATACGAGAAATACATTGTAAGGGAGCAACTCCACTTTTGTTGAGAAAAAAACATACCCCTGTGAGTGATCTACGTTCATTGCAAGGATTTTAACACACTTTGTTGAGTCCTACCTTTTGCTAATCTGATGGAGTAGCTGTTTGTTTGTCTGTGTCCAATTGCAAAGTGAATCTGTATGGAAGTGGTTTTATAATTATCAATCAGCTGCTGCACCTGGAGGGCTCTAATGAGGAGATTGGCAAGGTCTGCATCCCTTTAGACGTGATTTCCTGTTGGCAGTGTCTCACCAAAAATTAGATTTTTGTTTCAAGGGATGCCAAAAATCTGAGTTGTATCTTAGTGCAGACTTCTGGGAAATTCAGTAATCCAATCACACAAGCAGGAAATGACATTTTCAGGGGGTGTTCTGTACACCATCTGTGTACAGAACACCTTCAGGTATCCATAATATTGCATTGCATTTTGCAGAAAATTACGCACTGCAGATTGAAAAGGAAAGGTTACTTTTAATAACATTCAATTACAATATGACTTGAGTTGCAATTCTAAACACTATATTATTTTTTTTTATTTACTAATTTTTTTCCCACAAACTTGGAGTTACAGTTTAAAGTGATCCCATAGCTTGACAATATTGGGAAAAGCTTTATTGAAGCATAAGGTACATGTACTTACCCTGTGCTTGCTTTCTTTCCGCTCTGACTTCAGTTCAAGTTTCAGCCAATATATTGTGAGGTGCCAGAGTTCGCCAGGGTAGTGTTATGTGTTCCCCTACATTCTGTTATGTTGTTTAGTTGCAAAGCCATCCATCACCTTACAACAATAATCCTGAGTTAGTAAAGTATGAAGCAAGGTAAATTAAATAGTGTGAAAAATACAAAAGAATTTTTAAATTCTCTTGTGCATGACATCTTCACTTCACTGCACTTTACTTGGTCTCACACTTTAGTAAATTAGGCCCATTGCATTATTACTGAAACTTAAGGCCCTGGTGTACATGGTAGAAAAGGTGGTAAGGTCAAGTCTTGAAAAGGATAAGTGACATACCATTGCTATAAGGAGGAGGAGTAAATTTATGTCTACATTTCAAGAGAGAATGAGATACTAGCCCATTAGGAAGATTACAAGCTTTATTTATAGGTTTATAGGAGGAAAGAAATACCACTCATAGGAAGGATAGATAAAATAGTATCATGGGTCAGGCTGCCAGAGACTTTATTGTTTCATTGAGAAAATGGGCCTTGTATATCTAAAGGGTTTCCATTTGGGCCCACCAAATTCTATCCCCTTTCTGCACTGCTTTTACTCTCTTTCCATTGGCTTCCCTGCTCCGCTATTCAACCAATCTGAGTGATGTGAAATACCTTTTACGACCGCGTGTAGGGAGCACATGACTCTCTTCCACTATGCAGTGCTGGGCGTCTGAGGAGCCAATTGTCAGGCTTGATTGTTGTAACATGGAGGTGGGATTAGACTCATTAGCCCTGAGTAAGCTCCCCTTATTTCATCTTGGAGCTTACACAGGAGATTTTAACTTTGCTTTGGCTGGCAAATAGAGAAGCTGTCTATGCTTACCTCCTCCCTGTAACTGCCTGGATGTCAAGCTGAACCAGTGTCTTCAGTACTTTCTGAGTTATTAACATGCATTTTACTATGCTTGTTGTTTGCTTGTTCCCTGTCAGTGGCCTAAAATTTAGTGACACACAGACAGCCAGGCAGTTAGCATTTTTAAAAGGAGGTCAGTAATAGCAGTCCCTGTATTCCTCTCATGACTGAGATTCTTCATACTCACCCTGGTGACAGAACAAGCAATTGGGTTTGAGATTCCCCCACTTGTTTGCCCCCCACTGGTTTTCTTCATCCCTTGTAATGGATGGATCTTGAATGATTTAGAGCAGGGTTTCTTAACCAGGGTTACTCCAGAGGTTACTAGGGGTTCCTTGAGCAATTAGAAATTTCTCCCTCTCAGATAAGTTCCCACTGATCTTTTTAGCTATCTGTAAGAGGGTAATTCTTCCCAATGACCACAAGTGTAAGGAGCATTCTTCCTAATGACCATCACACTAATATATCATGAGTTGTAGATTTAGTAAGGGGGTTCCCTGAAACTGAAGACAAAATTTCAAGGGTTCCTCTGTGTTAAAAAAGTTGACAAAGGCTGCTGTAGAGAGAGGTGCTGCTCTCTGTAGCATTTTCCTGAGAACCCAGGGCAGGGGGCCAGCCCTACATGCTCTGGGCTCACAGGAAGTGAATTGAATAACATTTGGCATCATTAAAAATGGAAATGGAGCATGTGAGACTGCTGGGGGAAGCTCTGGAGATAGTCAATACAATTCCCATTGTACACATTCCTGAAATGGATTGAGAAAAAAAATAGGTGCTGCAGCAATAGCCAGTTGGAAACTGGAAACGTCACAGATCAATGTACATATTTGCCAGCACACCAAGGATCTTCAAGTAACATCCAAAGTTTTTATGCAAAGAGATGATATCACAGCGAAAGAGTGCAACATTTCAAGGCCATGCAGGAGCCCTTCATCAGTCATGTGATCATCACGTACCTGACAAAGGGGTCCTGCGTGGCCTTGAAACATTGCACTTTTCTACTGTGATGTGATCACTTTGCATAAAAACTTTTGGACCTTACTTGAAGATCCTTGTTGTGCTGGCAACTACTGTATGTACAGTAAGCTCTATAGATAGGATGAGTATTGCAACCTGAGCTATTTTCTAATTCCTAAAGGAAAAGTTCACGCTTCAGAACATGTTATACACATAATTTGAGTGTTACGTGTAACATGCTCCAGACCTGAGCACATCTCACACCTGCTATCACATTTTGAAAATAGCACACGGTTGTGCGGGGCATCGCTCACATAGCTGTTTCATTCATTCAGAGAGTTGTGTGAATATGAGACTACTAGTGCCATCACCCATTTTATCTGACAGCTTGTGGTTCTCAATGAACTGTGAGGGTGCTGATGGGCACTCTCGTAGTTAATTCACAAGCCCTGCAGCTTATAAACAGTCAGCCCTTATTGGACATACGGGCTGAAAGCTGCAGGGCTTGTCTGCAGGAACATGACATTGCATATCTGAACCATTGATCACGGGTGCAATGCTTTGCAGCCTCCAGAGGGAAAAAATTGTAATTGCACAATCTTTTCCTGCAAAAATATGTCCATTTATTTATTTTTTTCCAAAAGGTGAACTTAGCCTTTAAGAGGTGCCATGGACTTACATTTTGTGTAACTTTTTTTGCCCAAGCTGGACTTTAACTTTCATCCTGGCATAAAAATTCTATACCCCAAGTGGTCCTGAAACTGTAAACATGCAGGTCCATTTTACTTCATAGTTCCTTATTGACTTGATTTGGAAGAGGGTGGTAATTTCTTTGAAGTGATTTGACAAAAAAGTGAATTTTTGTATATTGTATTCTATTTTTCAGCACCTACGGTTATCTCTGAATGAGAATGGACAATGTCACGTACAGCATCTCTGGTTCCAGACCATTTTTGATATGCTGAAACACTTTCACTCTCATCCGATACCCCTAGAATCTGGTGGCTCAGCTGACATCACCCTGCGCAGCTATGTTGTTCCACAGCATTCGATACCTGGTGAGGCTTTTATTTATGTTATTGTTCACTGGTATTCAAAGACAAGCTATAGAATTAGGTTAACATTTATCACATTTGCCCAGGATGTAAATATATAGCTCAAATTCTTGTCTTATCTAAAGTCTCTCTAGAGGTAGCCATACACTTTAAGATTTTGCTAGATCAGCTACATGGGTTGGACAAGTGAAATCAATAGATTTCCATTATTAACAGTAACCAGCATAGGTGGAGGAATCTCTCCTAATGACTATTGTATTCTAAGAAATGAGGTCAGTCACCATTTAGTTGAGAATTATACTACCCAAACCCCTTAAATTTTTGGATGGAAGTTTGTTGAGCCAGATGATGCTGATGGGCCACCCAAGGTGCAGATTTCAGCTGATTTACCAGGAGTCAGGGAAAATCAAGCCTCATATGGCCAGCATAAGTGCAGGCAGTCTTTCTTTGTTAAAAAAAAATAAAGCAAACTACTTGAACATCTGGCATATATGAGCCCCTATATGACTGTCCATTCATGTTTTATAAACCAGCATAGTGCCTATGCATACATAAACGTATACCAGCATAACATACATACAGAAAAAAATCAGATACCAAGAATTACACACGACATAAAGAGGAACATTAACGGAGAGAAATATTGTATATTACAATCAAAAATAGTACTATGTCCATATGTAATTGTTGTAAAACTTTTAAAAATCGTAACCAAGACCGCAATATACACACGTACAGCATTTTTACACTTATGAACACATCTGAACTATCTTGCAAAATATGGGCCATCTGGGAACATTACAGAAAAGAGAGCTGAGAAAAGTCTTTGGTAAATGAGAGGAATCAGAGGAGATTTGTGAGTGGGATAAAATGATGGGTGATTCCCTTGAGTTTAGGATAGGGTGACATGCCTGTGTAGCTAAAGTTTGGGAGACTCTTCAGTAAAATAATTAATTATTTAGAACTTGTGTATAGGGACCATGAGGATACCAGTTACACATGAAAGAATGGATCTCTTCTCTTTCTTTGCTTTAGAGCCTGGACCTGCTGTTCCGAGTTTCCAGCAGCAGAGCTGCAGGACTGACACTCAATCTCAGCACTACTTCTCCAGCTCTGGGGCAAGTAATATGCAGCCTGTGACTCCTCCTGACAACCCCACTGCCAGCAGCCACCCAGCATATCACAGAGTAGATGGGACCCTGCCTGCCAGAAGCCGAAGCAACAGTGCAGAGCTTTTGTTAGAATCACCAAATGGAAGCACAGAAGACTACCATGATAGTGATGGGTCTCGGAGCCGCACAAGAGCCGTCGAGAACCAGTATTCCTTTTACTGATAAATCCTGTTTTAAGCCACATCACTACTAGTTTTTTTTTTCCGCAAATCAAATGTCAGCATTACGGATGACATACACAAAGCCCTTGTGTGCCATGAGAAATCTTCCAAGAACAGATGCCGTTATGGTGATATACACAATCTACTTCCCAAGTAGTGAAAAAAAGCACTGTGATTAGGGGGTCTTTAAAGGAAAAAAGTAAAGAGAGAAATACTGTAGGCTACCATTTCTGACCACCTTCAAAAAATGCTAGTTGCCTGTCTGTCTTTAGTTTACGTACTTTCTACATCCTGACCTGGAATAGGAATGCAGTTAGGAATCTAGAGTGAAGACAGGGAACTCTTAATATGCCTATTTGGTCTAGGCTACTGACTTAGCATGGAAGTCATTGGGTCAGCAAGACAGGTAACATTTTCAGAAGAAGTCAACAGTGGCAGCCTACTTCTCTCAGCACTAATTTCCTGCACCCAAAGCAATTAAAGGACCACTGTACTCAAGACATAAAGATTATATTGTATGCATTATGTGAAAGAGAGTTAACAATTAAAACTACCATATCCTATCTTACACATCAATGGGCCCCAAAATGATATTTGATAGAATTCATCCATGAAATAGTTGGACAGGAAATTAGCTTTGTGTCACAAAATATTATTTTGATTTGAATAATCTGCTAAAACATTTACATATTTATGCATGAATATTATTACAACCTATTTTACGTAAAGCACTTTATGAATATTTTGTATAGTGGCCTTTTAAGTTTGCTTTGCGTCCAGGGCAATAGGGATACACAGTGTGCAATTTCATACAAACCTTTCACCATCCTCTACAATTCAGTTTATGTGATGAGCAAGCAGATTCTAACGTAGTAGAAACCCATATGTCAAAATGATCTGTAGATCAAAAGATATATTCAGCTGAACATAACTCTGGATCTCCCACCACCTGAGCCTTTAATGTGATGGGTGACTTCTTTGGTCAGTAAGGAGACTTGGATTGTGGAATGTGTTAGAGCTAAGATAGACTTCTACAGGAAAAGTCAGGATGTCTGTATAATCTCAGCTCTCTGATGGTCTGCATTTACACTTTGTTTTAACATACAGTACCCCCTGATCATGCATTTTTTCATCATATGCTTAAGTTGAATTTTGCAAATGTGTAACAGGTTTGGTTTAACTCAACAGCCCTGTAAAGATTCAGCAGTGACAGTCTGTTTACATTGCTGCTTGTACTCCTTGTTTCCTGTAAGTATTCCCCATTCCTTGGGTCAATAGAGATGCCACTAAATTCTTTGTGATCTCAGGTTACTTTTAGAATTTAACAGATGGGATGTGTGCATGCTTTTCTGCTACTGGTAGTAGAGGGCTTGAAAAAAGTAAAATTGGTCTCTAGGGTAGAAATCTTTACTAAAGCCTCCCACCTCCAACCCACCTACATTATTTCTAGTTGTTAGTTAGCTTTTGGAATTGCAAATTTTAAAACTGAATTCCTGGTATAGATTTGTTTGCATAGTTACTTACATTGTTCCAGCTTGGACCAATGTAAGTTTACATATGCAATACCTGTGGGACCGCTGTGGATGCAGAGAAACACTGTAGTAGTCACTGCTACTACAGTGATTACCGCTGTTTTCTTGAGTCCTGTGTAAGCGGGGCTGCCTTACTGTCTAGTAAACACAGGGGGTTGCTTGCTCGGCAGAGGAGCCATTCATTGAACGCTTTGCTTTTTCTTCAGTGAATGCATTTGAGGTTGTCACAATCTCCACGTCAGCCAGTCAGAAAACGCTTCACATTCATTGAGACAAATGCGAGTAGTTCAACAAATGGTGCCAATGCTGAGCAACGTGGGACTCGGAAGACAGTGGCAACCCCTGTAGTAGCAGTGACAACTACGGTGAGACTCCGTTTCCACAGCGGTCTCACAAGCATGGGATATGCATACTTGCATTGGTCCAAGCTGGACCAATGTAACTATGCCATAAAATCCATACAGTACCTCTAATTCAGCTTAAACCCTTTACCACTGCCCAACACATAAGGCACGTAATGCAAAAGGGTGGGCATTGATGCCCATATGCTGCAAATACACTATATTGCCAAACGTTTTGGGACACCCCTCCAAATCATTGGATTCAGGTGTTCCAATAACCTCCATGGCCACAGGTGTATAAAATCAAGCACCTAGGCATGCAGACTGCTTCTACAAACATTTGTGAAAGAATGGGTCGTTCTCAGAAGCTCAGTGAATTCAAGTGTGGTACCATGATAGGTTGCCACCTCTGCAATAAGTCCATCCGTGAAATTTCCTTGCTACTATATATTCCACGGTTAACTGTTAGTAGTATTAGAACAGAATGGAAGCAACTGGGAACAACACCAACTCCGTGCACGAAGTGGTAGGCCACGTAAAATGACAGAGCGGGGTCAGTGCATGCTGAAGAGCACAGAGTGCAGAAGTCGCCAACTGTCTGCAGAGTCAATAGCTAAAGACCTCCAAGCTTCGTGTGGCCTTCAGATTAGCACAACAGTGTGTAGAGAGCTTCATGAAATGGGTTTCCATGCCTGCGCAGCTGCATCCAAGCCTTACATCTTCAAGTGCAATTCAAAGCGTTGGATGCAGTGGTGTAAAGCACACCACCACTAGGCTCTAGAGCAGTGGAGACGTGTTCTTTGAAATTACGAATCACGCTTCTCTGTCAGTCCAACATATGTGTCTGGGTTTGGCTGTTGCCAGGAGAATGGTACTTGCCTGACTGCATTGTGCCAAGTGTAAAGTTGGGTGGAGGGGGGATTATGATGTGAAGTTGCTTTTCAGGGGTTGGGCTTGGCCCCTTAGTTCCAGTGGGAACTTTTAAGGCGTCAGCATACCAAGACATTTTGGACAATATATTTTGCTCCCAACTTTGTGGAAAGATTTTGGGGGTGGCCCCATCCTGTTCTAACATGACTGCGCACCAGTGCACAAAGCAAAGTCCATAATGACATGGATGAGTGAGTTTGGGGTGGAGTAACTTGATTGGCCTGCACAGAGTCCTGACCCTCAACCCGATAGAACACCTTTGGGATGAATTAGAGTGGAGACGTCGAGCCAGGCCTTCTTGTCCTACATCAGTGCCTGACCTCACAAATGCGCTTCTGGAAGAATGGTCAAACATTCCCATAGACACACTTCTAAACCTTGTGGACAGCCTTTCTAGAAGAATTGAAACTGCTATAGCTGCAGAGTGTGGGCCAACTCAATATTTAACCCTACAGACTAAGTCTGGGATGCCTTTAAAGTTCATGTGCGTGTAAAGGCAGGCATCCCAATACTTTTGGCAATATCGTGTGTGTTGCTGGGTGGTCAATATTTATGTGCTGAGAGCATGCTAACTTCATGCTCCAGACACAAAGAACAAGCTGTCAGCTCTTGGCCCGGACTGAAGATTGGTAGCTGGTGGGACTGGCTTCCAATCATGTGACCACTGTGAGCAGTCACATGATCCTTCCCACCCCCCCCCCCCCCCCAGGAGTTAATAGGTCACAGAAAGCAGTTTAAAAAAATCATGTTTACCTGTTGAAAAAAAAAAACTCCTTGATGTTTACTCTAAGGGGCTGATTTCCTAAAACTGGAGAGTGCAAAAACTGGTGCAGCCGTGCATGGTAACCAGTCAGGTACTAACTTCAGCCTGTTCAATTAAGCAATGATGAAAAAAAATGGAATCTGATTGGTCTCTATGCAGAGCTGCACCTGATTTTTCACTCCCCAGCTTTTGTAAATTAACCCCTAAGTGTTGTTTTAAAATTATTGTACATCATTGCCTGTCATTCATTATTTGGTTTTAATACTCATATATTTACATGTTTTAATGACAGTCCAGCAAAATCACTTTGAATATTTTTACAGTTTAAGTGGTCCATCCTCTGTTGCCGTGCAAATGTGCTAGACAGGTACTGAGCATGGAAGGTCAAGAAATGTCATGTGCTGGTTCATTTTTTCGCTCTGTCACTGGGCGGCTCAGATGTGGCATTTCACTTTCAATAGACAAAACACCAGAAATACATGTATAGAGTACAATTACAAGGAAAGACGTGGATTAGCAGAGTGACCCAGTAATACAAGCATTCATAGCTAAGCTAGTCATGGTTAGGTTGGAAGTATGAAATCTTACTCCTGTAGAAGTACTTTTATGCTTTATAGAAGTGGCAGTGTGATGCTTCATGACCACATAAAAGCATGGAGAACCCTTTAGATGTAATTTATCATCTCCAGTCATCTGGGCTTCTATAAAAGCAGCCATTAAGCAGCTCCTAGCTCTGGTTCCAGAGAAGTGACAAAGTGAATAGCTTCTTCTTTTTTTATGCCTTTAGTAAGAACTTAATAGAGAATGACTGTTTCCTTCAGAACTTTCGTACATAGGTGTTTTTTTGAGCAATTGTAATTAAATAAAGGATAGACTATTGATAAATGGCACTAGGTTCCAAATTGTACAATAGCAAAGCTAGAAAACTGTTAGAGAATGAAGGACCTTTCAGATACCCCAGAAGAACAGACACACATAATAAAAACCATTATAATTAGAACAAATACAACAATTTTTGTCTCAGTTGTACAGATATCCTCTTCTGGTACCCATTAGCTATTAACATGATTACCGTATACATTTAATTCCTTGATCCAATAATTGTACATACTATACCTTAGAAAATGTTTTATGCTAATGATGTCATGGAACGGATATCTTTGACATGTTTCACAGATACTATATTCTGCTTCTTCAGGATCACAACTGAAGTTATCCCTATAATAGATATAACTTTATATAAAATACACATGTATATTAACAGTGTCATACTGTCTGTGTCATTGCATAGGCTACCAATTATTTGCTTACATGGCTGTGAGCTCAACTAGCTACAGTCACTCCAACATGTCCCTGGGCATACGTAGAAGCAGGAAGGAGAGGTTTCACATGTAGGTTCTCTTTAATGCCCCATTCTGGCACATACCTTTTCTTT